TAACATCCCTGAACAACATAATCAATGATCCAATTTCGTTCAAAGCAACCAATATCCCGGAGGCCATTGTTTGCTGCAAAGGTTGTGGCATCGCCGAGCAGTGCTGTTCTGTATTGCCTAGGAAGGGCAGTCCAACCAACAAAATCTCCAACTTGCTCAATTGTTGCATTAACGAGATTGTTTGTTTCTCTCTTAATGTCTTCATAGATCTTGTTCGGATCGGCTTCTTCTTCTACAACACTGGCAATGGCATCAAGAACTACACTTTTTATTTCCTTTGGCTTTGCAATCAAGTTATCGCGGACAGCCGCATGGGAAATGGTGAGAGCAGCAATAGCAGAACTACTAGCAGTATTGGTAGTGGAGGGGGCAACCAAGGAAGCAGCGATACGGTCTGTATTTTTACGAATAGTAGCGACATTAAGACAAACCTCGTTCTGTGTGATAATGAAGTCCATCATGCCACCGATTCTCTTTATTTCATTTACTAGCTCAGTGGCCCATTTTGGGGGTGCTGGTGGTGCCATATGTCAAACTTCCCGAAAGAAAAGAACAGATATACAGAAGAATCAAATGTCTCAAAGACCGCAGTTCATACAGCGTTTTTTGAAGCAATATACCAGTGTGAGACTCTTGACTAACATGTTATTTTTTTATTTTTAATAGCAACCAATATTTTTCCTCTTCTAAAACTTACTATATTAAAATGAAATGTACCATATGCTTTGAAAATACAGGAAGAAAAAAGGCTATTGCCAAAAGAGACCTTGTGAGCCATATCGCTGCACACAGGCGTGAGGATTTTAAGAAGAAGCTGGCGCAGCTACCAAAAATACCTGATGACATCGGCGTGGCCTCATCATCAAGGGGTAAGGGCAGATATATCAATTGGATATCCAAGCTGCTGGCTAATTATGCATGTAAATAGCTGCTACAACTTCTAGGAATGTGCAAGAACCAGTCTTTCCGCAGCAGCCATCAGTGGACATTGATGTATACACATCTTTATTTTATTTAAGCTTTTATAAAACGTCCTTTTTTGTTTAATTTTTTTTATTTTTAAAAGAGCTTAAGTAACTTTTCGCTCTTGTCACTATGAGAATGTTTAGTTGTAGACCTTTAGAAAGAATGGTCGGCATGATTAAGCAACAGATAGGGTCAAAGTCTAAGCCAGCCGAAAACGCTTTCAACATTGCCAAAAAATTTGAAGAACAGGGTATTATGTTGCGTAAGGATAATACCCTAGAAACAAATATACCTAGGAAAAAGATTGTAGCTAGAAGAGCTAGAACGTCCGAATATGTTGGATTAAACCAGTTTTTACATTTACGTGTCGAGTTCCAGCTTAAAAATTAGAAAAATAGATTCAGTAGACTTATAATTCGATGGAAACAATCCTGTCAGAATTAATTCTAAAGTTGGAAGGTCAAATGTGTGCATAGCAAAACTTCCTCTGTCTGATCCAATGGCACAGAAGAAAACTTTTATGTTATATCTATAGAAAGTTTGTATGAAGTTGAGGATGAAATTTCAATATTTGCATGGGCAAGGATTTGCAGCAACATAAAAGTGGAAGGATGTTGAATACGAAGCATCAATTAAAAAGAATAAAGACTAGAATTAACCAGACTAAAAGATATATGTCGATTGACTTTATTAAAGACGAGTATTTATACTAAATGTGAGACACTCTTCAACTGAGATCGTAAAACTTTTCATAGAGGCTTATGAATGACAATTGAGGCA